GGAAAGACCATAACAGTTTCCTAAATGTCTGTGCAATCATATTTGTGTTCGCAACAACTGTCAAAATTTAAATTGATTTAACAGGGGGATCAGGCTCTGCAAATGAAACATAATTTATGTTCAGCTAAAGGTATATTTTCAACATGAAATCCAGTCTATTTATTCAAAATTATCTATGAAAAGGCTGCTTCAACACATGTAATTGCTCCCGAATCATCCAGATTATTTTGACCTGTTAAGAATGCATGTATAAAGCAAGACAAACTGACTGCCTCCAACTCTGGCCCTGGAAATCCTTGTGTCATCAAAAGCTTATGCACAGCTTTCATGAAATTTCAGAGATTCAGTGTCTTACTCGCTCAGCAGTAAAAGTGACTGAACATGAAGTGTAGTCAAGCAAATAACAGAAGTGAGGAAGGGGTTTCCCTTCCCATTGTTATTCCTGCTATGCAGTGAAACATCTTCAAAATCTAAATGTAATGCCTAAGATCACAATAGCCTTTTAAGCAGGTATTCCCTAGATGCTCTCACCTTCTAGAAGAAAACAAGATAAGAATTGCCCCTTGGAAAGTGTGTTTGGTAGTTTCCACGGATACCACTTTGAACGATACTGTGTGGTGGTGATGTTTTTCAAACAGAGAAGCTCTAAGCATACTCTTAAAATCTCACAGACTTGATAAGTTTGCTTTTTCTGACTCATGTATGTGAGAATTTGAATACTAGTTTTTCTGCAGCTAAGAAAACTCCCAACAGCTTTGTTCACTGAATTTGTGTGCATACCATGTTGTCATCGTCTAGGTGGCCAGTTGAAAAGTTGCTTGGAAGTTAGTCTTTTCCCAGCTGTTCTCCACAGTCTTTCTTTCCAGCAATGAGATACAATAGAACTGCACTGTAATATTAAGACTTAGGGAGACGATTTTGACAGTGCTTTAGGGTGGTCTCAAAGAAGTGTTAGCCTTTGCTGTCACCTCACCTCATGGGAATGAGGTGAAGCTGAAGTTATTAATTTTTTACCGTTTGAGGACCTAAGGCTTAGAGATTGCTTTAAAAAGTACATAAACAACTGTAGCCCATTTGTCTTTTCCCTTACCTTTTATACTGAGCTTCTTCCCTGAGAGGTTGAGAGTAGCATTTGTAAAGGGAGGGGGAGGAGGGAGGTCAGAGAACAATTCAAGGTTTAAACAGAAATGCTGACAGCAATTACCTGTGTATTAATCTGTTTGAATTAGAAATGCTCACTTTTTGAAACTCCTCAAACTTACATATTTCTGTTGCAGAACTGATAATGCTATCAAGAACCACTGGAATTCCACCATGCGTCGAAAGGTTGAGCAGGAGGGCTACCTGCAGGAGTCCTCCAAAGCCTGTCACTCCTCAGCAGCCACCAGCTTTCAGAAGAGCAACCACTTGATGGCCTTTGGCCACAACCCACCTTCTGCACAGCTGCCAGTAGCCGGCCAGCCCCAGCTGAGCAGTGACTACCCCTACTACCACATCTCTGAGCCACAAAACGTAAGCACGTGAAAATGTGGTAGTTTTTTAGTTTTGCTTTGTTGAGTAAGTGGATACAATTCAGCCATACCCAAATTCAGGAAGCAATGAAGGGTTTCCTCCCAGTTTGTATGGACGTGTATGTTTGACATCAGGTGAGGACTTCTTCGACGTTGACTTCATTCCTGCCATAGACTAGATGGTCCTGCTCTGGCAGGGCAGTTGGACTCGATGATCTCTGGAGGTCCCTTCCAACCCCTAACATTCTGTGATTCAGTGCTGAGAAGATGTACATTTCAAATTGATTGTGGCATTCAGGTGGTGGAATCGTGTTCAGCATTAACATCTTGTGAGCAGTGAACCTGTCTCCAGAAGTGTTTCTTACATTTCTTGAAGATCATTTGGATCTCTGTTAATTCTGTGTTCTGTGTCAAAATCTCCCACGTTCCTTTCAGTAATATTCTGTTTGTGGGTTGCCTGTTGGAAACAAGTAAACAAGTACTGTTTTTAATCCGATTCCTTTTCTGTTAATGATGAATAATGAAACAGGCTGCTGCTTCAGACAGTTACATCGTAGAGTTTTAGATGATAATAAATTGCATCTTTTGCATTTTCACTTCGATTAAGAAAAATCTTACAAATGTACCTATCAGTTATTCATCTTTTCTCATTCAGGAAGGCTATATAGTTCATATATGAATTTTCTTCCTCTATAACACTCAATGTCATATCCCTAAGAAACTATTTAGTTTTCTTGTAAACGTTGTTGGGTTGTTTGCTATTTTATCTCCATAGATTATAAATACCTACAACCAAAATACGTTTAACACAGATTCACAATGCAGGCAGACAATATGATACAAGTAATAACTTCTAGTGTCTTTTCCTTTTTGACCTAGGTCTCTGGTCAGATCCCATATCCAGTAGCACTGCATGTAAATATTGTCAATGTTCCTCAGCCAGCTGCTGCAGCTATTCAGGTAGATAACTTGAACCTCATTTCAAGAGTCAATTTGTTAAACATTTGATAAGTCAAAATGCAGACATCGTACATTAAGGAGGCATTTTAATGTAATAAGTGTGGTGAAGAGAAAATGGGGAAGGTTGGGGAGTTCTAACATGGCTAATAATTGCTTCTTCTGAAGTGGAATTAAAATACAGTAGTTGACATCTGGTGTGATAGCTTTCACTTTCTCCATTTCAAATGTCTATACTGAAATTCAGCAGGGATTTAGTAGTAGTGGAAAATACAATTGACATTTGTTTCATCTTTGAGTCTAGTTTGGCTGTTAAAACCACAGGACGGCAAACCATAAGCATTTTAGTTGCTACATCCTATCAGACCTTTATCTTTTCTTTTCCCTTAACTCTTAATTTCAGAGACACTATAATGATGAAGACCCTGAGAAAGAAAAACGAATAAAGGAATTAGAGTTGCTACTAATGTCGACTGAGAATGAACTGAAAGGGCAGCAGGCATTACCAGTAAGATTGTCACTGTGTGCTTGGACGGAGGGATAGCAGCGTTACCCCAGTGCTTGTCTTTTTAACTTTTTACTCCCCCTCTACCCTTGATACTAATAAAGGCTCTATATTTCAGTTTTAGAAGGATGAAACATAGCACATTATAGTCTGTATTTGTTGTAAATTCTTTTATTGAAAAAAAAAGCAAACAATTTGCAGGTATTTTACTTTGCAAAGTGGGAGCAGGGCTGGGCTCTGTAATGTGGTATAATATTGGAAACTTGATGACTGTCAAAATTAAAAATCCCACAGATCTTGCATTAATGGGATCTGCATTTCTGAAAGTGTGCAGTGGTTCATATGATGAAAATGTAGTGCCTGTACTTCAGATTTTTCTTCTCTGTTGTATTCTTTCCCTCAGCTGTGTTTTATACACTTTGTAAGCTTCAGACTTGGTGCATGTTTGACAGTTTTACTTACCTGAATAATGTTAGATTCTTCATAACTGCATGTGTGGAGCAAATGCTGGCTATTACTAAAATCTCACACTTTGTTGTATATACCATTGGATGTTAATGTATGAAAAACCTTACGTGATTACTTAACACCACCACCAAAGCCAAGAATCCCCAAATTGTTTTTGAAGATAGGTGATAGCCAGCAAATACTTTTTTTTTGGGTAATATTTATATTAATAGTAAAACCACTGCATGTATGATACGTTAGTTTGGCCACTTTTTAACTTTAGTTAATGTTTTGCAATTTCTTCTGTTGCATGATCACACTGGAAAGAAACTTCTGTTAATTTGTTCTTCTGCTTTCCTAACCACGTTGATTTGACAGCCTCTTCATTGCATTGGTGTAAGCTGTAGCATTAGACAGGGATAGAAGAAGAAAAGGAGATAAGCAAACAAAAGCAACTCTAACTCTTAAACCCCCCAGCCTTCCACAGTGCTGAGCGCTCACTAGGGAAATCCTGCCATTTCTTGCTTCTCACAGAAAATGACTTGCAGACACTTTCTGAGCTTTTGGAGTGACACAGTATGACTTGATTATGTGTTAGTAATAAAATATGCTCATAATCCTGGAAGTAAATTGAGGTCACTTTGGGATAACAAATACAATGCCGATACTACTTAAAAAGAGATCTTGCGCTGATGAAAGGAAACATCTTGACAATTGTTTCATAGGCATAAGCTTTTAGATGATGATGCAACTACTTTTATCTTTCCTCCAGTGGCATCTGACACCTTGTGCAATTTCATTGCTAAGTTCCTTCTGCCTTCTTCTCTCCCCGCCCCCCCCTTTTCTTTTTTTTTTTTTTTTTAATTTTTCCTTTAGACCCAGAACCACACATCAAACTACCCCGGCTGGCACAGCACCACAGTTGGTGACAGCACCAGGACCAGTGGTGACAATGCACCTGTTTCCTGTTTGGGGGAACATCACCACTGTACTCCATCTCCACCGGTGGATCACGGTTGCTTACCTGAGGAAAGTGCATCCCCTGCACGGTGCATGATAGTTCACCAGAGCAACATCCTGGATAATGTTAAGAATCTCTTAGAGTTTGCAGAAACACTCCAGTTAATAGATTCCGTAAGTAGACTTGCCACCTCAGGTGGATTCATTGCGTGGTCAAGGAGTAACGGGAGAGGAACTGGGGCAGTCCTAAATGTGTTTCTGATTTTTTTTTTTTTCCCGAGTAACTTCTAATTGCTACAAGATCTAAAGCTTAGCTTCTGACATAACAAAACACAGCTGCTCATGAATGAAGCCCTCGAGTGTGGCTGCATATGCTTTTTGTGGGTGTCTCCCTTTCCTGTTACATCTTGGTATGGGAGCGTGGTTTGTAGCAAACTGCACGATAGGAGCTTGAAACAATCTCTCGATATTTAGTTGGAGACACCATGGAAGGTTTTAAACAATTAAGTGAATGACACATGCTGTAGATTTATGTGTGGCTGCTTATGCATCTGCATCATTTTCTAAAAGTTTTTTATTTTAGTTTCAATAGTTGCTTATCAAAGTTTAAGGAGTTTGCCCTGGCATGCGTGAAGAACTAGAAACATGTTTTAACTGCCAAGTGGCTGACTTGACATTTGACATGGGCCTTTTCTCATTGTGGTCTCTGGTACACTACATGTAACAAAAGTGGCACATTGAAATACATCTGTCAGTAGTACCTTACTTCAGCAGTGGAGATCTCTGCTTCAGGCAGCATCGTGTCCCATGCAGCATGCCCGGAGCAGGCGTGCAGTTTAGAAGGAGACCAGTCTTGGTTTAGAGCTCGAGGCACGTATTTTTTTAGTAGCAAAAGGCATTGTCTTTGTACCCAGAAGAAATCCTTTGGTGAGTAGATGGTAAGACCATCCTTTGTCTCAGAGTTTCGCTAGGGACTCAGTTGCCAGGATGTCAGGCTAGGTTGTTAGACAGTTTGATGTGATCAAGGTATATATGGAAAACACAAATAAGCATTCACACTGTTACTACTCAAGTAAACAGGGTCAAGGTGAATTGAGGTGGGGAAGATGTTGGTGGTGGTGGTGATGGGCATATCCTAGCACTGTATTTTCATGAGGTGGCACTATACACTGTCTTATAGCTCCGTGCCTCCCACGTTGTTTCAGGATCCTTCATCATGGGGTGATCTCAGCAGTTTTGAATTCTTTGAAGACACAGACACTTCGGCTAGCAAAACTCCCTCAGGCAAAGGGGCACAGCTTCAGCAAAGAGGGGCCAGTGCTTGTAGACCTCAAGGACACCCCATCACAAACTTGAGCAAAATCATGTCGAGTCAGGGCTCACCTGGCTCACCAGACTCCTTATCTGCCTCACAGGGCAGCGCGGATCCATGGATCCTCCTTCGCAAAAGGAGAGGGCACTCCAGCCCCTTAGCCAGTGCCCACGGTAGCACCTTGGTCCTAGCTGACGTCAGCAGCTCAACTTCTCCTAAGCGCTCCCCTGTCAAAAGCCTGCCCTTCTCTCCCTCGCAGGTAGATCAAGACTTCTCTGCACAGATGTTACTAATTCTCAAAAGTCACCCCAGCCTTAACAATTTAGAAACTAATCCTTTGGAACAAATGACTAATTACCGTTGCACTTGTTGATTTCACTCTGTGTTTGAATCTTCTCACTGCTTTTAGTCTTCACCACTGGATTTAGATCATCAGCAAGCTAACTGTTGATTCGCTTATTTTAAATTAATCTGTGGGGCTTGGTTTTTGTTTTTTTTTGTAATTTGGATCAGTTTTGTGTTGAATACAGTTGAACAAAATTGCCTGCTCTGCTCTTGGCAGTTAACTCCTTCAACTACTAGAGTTTAACATTTCTGATCATTTGTAATACTTTCCATCTCTGTCCTCTTACAGTATGATTCATTGACCTAGAAAACCCCAAACTGCGTTTAAATAGCTTTCAGGTTGTGAGACAAACTGACAACAACCAGAAAATTCAAATCACTGCTCGCCATCCTCAACCTGGGCCTTGTGGAGTGGAGCGGAATAGGAATGAGGAGGAAAATGGCCTGTTAAAGTGTCCTGGCGTGCACTTCCAAATTCCTGTTGGTGGTTGCTTTGTTTCACAGCTGTAGCACTATTTAAAAGTGTTTTGGTTGTTTTGTTTATCTGCTTGTGTTGGTTTTGCCTTGGTTTGGCTTTAGTCCTTGAAGTCACAGAAAACACTATTTCGTGAAGGACAGTAGAAGATTGCATGTAATGATCTCCCACTGTATCTCCAGTTACCTGTTAGCTCTTTCAGTCATATATCATTTATGCAGTGAAATCTGTATTTTCTTACATGCCATATTTTTATTAAATGCATTTTAATTGGACACAAGTTGAGTCTAGAAGGTAAGATGGTGAATCAGTGTCAGAATAAGGGATACCACTACATTCACATATCTGTAGAAATGGAAACAATTTTTTAGGTTACTAGGTAGAACTCATGAAAAAGCAATTTGCTCCAAACTAGTACTGCTGCCTCCCTTTTGGTCAGCTATTTCCGTTCCAAAACACTCCACACAGTCATCACAGGTGGCAGTTGTCATTTTATGCTGCAAAGAGGTGATGAGAATTTTATTTTCTGGTCATAAACACTTTATTTACTGCCTTAAAAGCACCTAGATTCCCTATATAAATCTTTGTAGAATTTAGCCCCATTTTCACCCAGTTCTTACTTGGACACAGTGCTCTTAATTAAAATTTATTTGCAAAAGATCCAAATCAGGCTTTTAAGATATGGCTTTTAAAGTGGTAGAATGTTTCTCATTGGAACTGGGTGCTTTCTTTATAAGTTCCTTCTCTAGAAATGTTCGGTTTGGCTTCATGAGTGCTTCAGCCAAACAGTTGCATGTTGTTTTGCCATGTAGTCAGGCACACTATATACAACCACCCCCATTGCAGGGTCAGGAGAATCACATCAATCAGAAGGAAATAATTTTGTTTGTTCAATAGTATCCCCTTAAGAAGTTAATGTTGTAATCTGGATGTTTCTGTTGATTTTTCCTTTCTCTGTCTACAGTTCTTAAACACCTCATCCAGTCACGAAAACCTGAACCTGGACAACCCTGCACTAACTTCCACACCAGTGTGTGGCCACAAAATGGGTGTTACCACGCCGTTACAAAGGGACCAGACTTTTAAAGCTCAGAAGGAAAATTATGTGTAAGTCTCTTTTCACATTGTCTTGTCAGATTCATGAGAGTATGTTTCTTCAGGTTTGCACACAACCAAAATACCTGTGTCACTGCATGCATCCCGCAGAGCTGTTTGCTAACGCATTCACTACTCTTATTTGGAGTAAAACTCCCACTTTGTAACTGTGGAGGTAGGTTATTAATACAGAACAATTGTGCATATAGACTCACTGTTTTTTTAAATAAAGCTATTCCACCTTATTTTAGCTAAATAGGTGTTTTGTCAGAAAAGCAAAATGGATCATTGGGTTGGAGGAAGATATTTTTCCAGGTCTTACAGTAGCCACTGCCTGTATGCGTATATTTCTGTAAAGAGGTAATATTTCCAAGCATGCTCCTTTAAAGTTTTTCTCCTCTTTTTAAAGTTTCAGGACTCCAGCAATCAAGAGGTCGATATTAGAGAGCTCTCCAAGAACACCCACTCCATTCAAAAATGCACTTGCAGCTCAGGAAATCAAATATGGTCCTTTGAAGATGCTGGTAAGAAGGAAACAATGATAAAAGGTGCTTTGTTATTAGTGCAGCGGGATGTTCTGGGACTTGGATACAACATTTCTTCCTTTCAGCCTCAAACTCCGACTCATCTTGTAGAAGATCTGCAGGACGTTATCAAGCAGGAGTCAGAGGAATCTGCAATAGTGGCTGGGCTACATGAAAGTGGACCCCCTTTGCTGAAGAAAATCAAACAAGAGGTAGATCTCAAACTTACCTCAGGCAATTTAATTCAGCACTCTTCGCTGAGAAGCTTATACCAATACCTTTTCTATTAAATAGCTATGTCTCTTTTTCTTTCATGTGAACCCCAAGATCCTAGCGTCGGTTCTACATAGTGTACTAGGCATGCCTAATTCATCTCCCATTGATTTCCATAGAAGCCTTTTTGCTGTTTGCAGCAGGGGTTTGCTTGGGCTGTTCTAATGTAGTTTTTGTTTGAAACTTAAAAAGAAAAAAAAATTAGGAATTTGGATTGAATCTTTCTGATATTGGTGAAAAGTATAGAAGAACCCCATGGGGACCAAGCTCCATGGAGTGACTTAGAAACCTGAACATTTGAGGACATTGCATTATATTACTTTGTCACTAAAGTTCTAAAAATACCTATATTCTCAATCCTTTCTAGGGGATTAAACTCCTGAATACTGACAGAGCGCTGAGTGCAAGCATTCAAAGTTTTAGTTGGTGGGGTTTTTTTTGAGAACCTTGAACTTTTTTCTTGTGCAAGAAGAAGAGCAAGGGTTCTGTAAAAGACAGGACTGTAAACATGCACTGTGCACAGCTGTGAAGTTTATGTATGCAATTTATAAGCAACTGACAGAAAAATCTTCTGCTGGGTTAGGTACTGTTTTTTATCATGGTTCCTTTCCTGATTTCAGGTGGAGTCTCCAACAGATAAAGCTGGAAATTTTTTTTGCTCGAATCACTGGGAAGCAGAAAACCTAAACACTCAGCTCTTTACACATGCTTCTACTATGGAAGATGTGCCAGTAAGTGCAAGTTTCCACACCACCAAATGATTCTTCTGTTTTACATCCCTGTTCAGCTCTTAAATGCGAGAGAGAAAATATTTTGTCTGATCTTACAAGCAGGCATTATTATTTATTTCCATATCTTTTTCCTGTATTAAGCATAAGAAGCAAAATCCTACTCTTAATAGATGACTGTAATGCCTACAGAAGGTAGCAGAAGTTGCTGTCATCATGCAGCCCACAGTCTTTGTAATGAGCCTGCACTTGGAGAATGCCTGCCCCTGTGTGCAGAAATGACTAGGTCATGGAGTTAAAACTGGTAGAAGAAAGAGAGAGTCCACCTCGGTTTGTGCAAAGACCTTGCATGAGCACGGTTCCCTTGGCTTCACTGGGACTATTCACTGGATGAAAAATGTTTGTGTGTGACAGAGCTCTTGCAAAGCCAAGTCCCAGGGACCCCAGGCTGAGCACTCCATCTGGGACCATGCCCACTGTCGCACCCTCTGCAGTCAGGCTGAGTTTGCTTTTAATACTTTTGAATTCAGGTTGTTCTCTTCAGTTACTGAAAACTATGTTGGTTTTTTGGTTTTTTTTTTTTTTTTTTGTTTGTTTTTGTTTTTTTCCTTTTCTTCTTCAGAATCTTCTTACCAGCTCCATTTTAAAGATGCCTGTGCCTGAAGAGGATAGTAGTTTTCACAAAACCTTTGCTGTACCGAAGAACAGACAACTAACTAGTCCTCTGCAGGTAATTATTCCTTGATAAGTATGGCCTGTGCATATAAAAATACATACGTATTAGTTTCTCAGACTGCTTTTGAGTATGGAAGAATGAATCGTTCAGATGAACATAGCTGAGGATCTTGCTTCATTTGTGGAGCATGAGGACACAGAGGCTACAGCTGTTCCAGGAAGCTAAACAGGGCAAAGCCCCATGTGTGAGGTGTTGGTAACTCAGCTGACTCCAGTGCTGAGTTGGTAGGACTGAGAATTAATGCCGGCCAGAGGCTTTTTCCTGTAGACTTCTTGTAGGCAACTCTGCTGTTGTGTAAAGCGGGAGGGTTGAGTGGTGTGGTAGTGGCCAGAACTTGCCCCTGGCATCGGGGTGAGAGCAGAGACTCTGGCACTGCCTGGCTGGTCAGCACAGATGTGGTCAGTATTGCCTGTCCAGCCAAGCACTAGGATGGCCTTCTTCTGAGTGCAGGCTGAGGTCTCACTAGAAATGTAAACGGTGGTCTGAAGGGCCCTCATAACCCTTACAGCCAATTGTACATCTTGGGATCTCTGAAATGAATTAAATGTGCAACTGTTTTCGTGTGAGGCTTAGTTTCACGTTTGTGCTTTTTCCAAGTGTTAAAAAACGTATACATTTGCTCCACTTAAAAATATAGCTGTTACATAAGGCCTGATCCAAAGCCATTAGTAGCTTTTTTGTTAGCTCTTTTGGACAGAAGTTATTTGGAGAATGAAATCCAGTGTAGATAATGATGAATTTTCCTTCCACTACAACCCATATTTTTGAGGTATAGGAGTAAGTGATTTTATATCCCTTCTCCACACAGGTGAATTGAGGAAAAGTGTCACATTCCCCAGGGTGAGTCACTGTCAGGAAGGAAATTATTACTCTATAGTTCCTGACTTTCAGGCAGATAGTCCACATGGCTAAT